GACATGTGATTTTTCTAGATCAGGAGTGCACGAAGTTGAAGAAGGAGGTTTCAGTTTGTTAAACATCATCATTTCTTTCAATTACGTCAGTGACGTCATGATAATAATGTAACATAAGATATGCTTATTGTAATGAATATGATGTTATTACGGTGATGAGAAATCTAACAAAATCATAGTGTTCTGGGATGCGACGCTGTGCAGTTTTGTAGACAGGCACCAACATTTCGGAAGAATCTGTTGTCTCCATTCTTAGGGCGGCCGCACACCAACTGCATCAAGACACACATCAAGAATGAGACAAAAAACGCAGTCTTGCTTCATTCGTGATTCTCAGCATGAAGCTGCCGTCAGCATCATGACTCATAACGGTGTGCGGCGGTTTTCATAATCTCATTCGTTTCAACTCTACTCCTTTCTTTGCGTCGTGTCGCAGACATCGTGTCTTGACATATGCCGGCGTGAGGCCTACCTCAGGCTACACTGCATTACGTCCCAGAACACGGTATTCCCGGTTTTATTTCGATATAGGCTCGCCAACAGACTCATTCTACACAGACACAAAGTCTTCGTTTTTCTGGTTTCGAAAGCGAAGTTTGTGGATACCTTAAAAACTGTAATAATGGAATAGTTTGCGTTTTTGTGTTCACTGAGTCTGATGTCCCCAAATTCCTGCAAGCACAGGCGCCAACATGCCTGACAGTTGAGCCCAGTGGCTGCTGACGCATACGGCAGACAGCTGCAATGAACTGTGTGTAGAGCTCACGAGACACTTGGCGATATGTCTAAATTCCCAGAGAAACGGCTGCTGCTTGGGCAAGCCCGTGACTCAGATTGGCGTTAAGTACAAAGGTCAAGAAAGAAATTCAACCCACTCTGGAGCCATCTATGGTGAAGTATGAAACCCAACTGTGGAACAGAAACGTAATTTTATGGCGAGTTTATCTTGTCGTACCACGAAATAAGGCACGACGTATTACTGAGGAGGCTTACTCTGCAGGAACTTAACAAGAATCTTGTTATCTGGAACTAAGTTATATTCGTTACAATACACAAAAATGGAATTTGTACGTTCCCGTATTAATAGTGCAACATTAAAACTTTCCAAAGAGGAAATCAGGAAATGAGAGAATGCCCAAAATATAGAAATCGATTTTCCTATCCAGGTAAAAGAAATAGTCATTCAAAGCCCAGTGGCTACCATATGTACCATCTGTTTTCACATACTAAAACTCTGCATTCTGCACACACAATATATTTATGTGTTCCATGTGGTTCTCACAATAAACAGCGATTATTTCTCTAAACAGCATTAACCGGTTGGGCTTTGTAGCGGAGACGTAATGTGTTTCCCGTGAAGTACGAACTGAACTCTGCATTCTGCCCACACAGTGTATTTGTGTGTTCCGTATGGTTCTCACAATAAACAGTCACTGTGTCCATAAACAGCATTAAGCGATTATTTCCCTAAACAGCATTAACCGATTGGGCTTTGTGGCAGAGGCACGAACTGGAATTTTACATGTGATTCAGAAAAAATACGGCCTCTCTTTCTCTCTGACAGTCTATAAAGGATTGATCGGATTCTTCCGTTATTTTGCGACTCTTTCAGCATCTAAACTTTATATATCCTACACCGTTGAGTGGAGGGATGATCAAGGAATAATGAATCGGAAATTATTTAGAAACAAGGGGGCTCGTACTAATCTTATTATCCCAGAATTTGTCGGGATAGACGGAAAAATTCCCTCTCTCTTCACAAATCGTCGGTCCAGATTTGAACCGAGCCCTCCATGAATATGGATGTGGGGCACTACCACCAAGCCCACCCACGCTGGCTGAGAGTGCGCGCGGTAGTGTGATGTCGGTGAGGGGCCGAACACTTCTGATCTAGATATGCACATGTACCGTTACAACAAGGAAACATGGTTACGTACGGCGAGTATTTGAGGAGCATGACTTGCTGTGTGGCCTGTGAGTACAGCCACTCCTGGTGCTCTGCGGAGTGGCCTGTCCGTCACTTTCTTCAGAAGTGCATATTGAACCTCAGTCTTAGTTTGTAAACGCAATTATACAAATTACTTCATAAATATATTTTCTTATATCCTGAATAGAAATATTTTGCCTTCTTTTAAATAATATAAATTATCGAATTCTGTGACTGAAACATACAGTTTACTTTCTATACATATATTTCCGTCTCAAATGCAAGTTATTATCTTGCCCTACTTCTCTAGCACTACATGCTTCGGGCCGTGTAGGCCGTGATCAGGTGTATTTCTACCTTGCCAGAATTATTCCACTGTATGTTAAGGTCACATACCGCTTGTGATGGCGACGTTAGTTAGTATTTAAAATATAGATTTATGTTTAAGATTAGAATGAAAAATTATAATTGAGACGGAAATATATATGTTAATGCAAGAGGATGCTTAAGTATAATGTTAAATTTGCAAATTGAATGAAATATAAATTTAAGTGTGATTAACTGTGCGCGGCAAAGAATTCTTGCCACTCAGCCCCTGAATAGTAACGTGTCGCACGAAATGTCTAGTGCGCTTGCGCCGAAAGCGTGTACGGGTTGGTTGAGTGACAGTTTAATTGAATAACAAGAAAGATTTCTCTCAAATTTCTGTACAATTCTGAACACAGGGATGCACCGCATTAACCCTCGTCATGCTTGCATTAAAAATATTTAGTTAGGCCCGTTAGCCATTCGTGCTTTTTACACTATCATACATCTCTTGTCGGTCACTTAAAAAAATATAAAATATATCTTCTTACATACACACTTTACTCATAAGAGTGGCTGAATTATTTGTTCTAAGAACAATCTTCATGCTTTTATTCAAAGCGATTCTGATACAAATAAGTTATTTATCAAACCAAATACCCAAATGACATTATGAGTTTACGAAACAGGTTTGACCTTGTACTAATTGAGGCTGGTTTTCAGCTGTTTTTGCTTAACGCAACTTGGCGCAATCTGTGCGAGAATTTCCTGTTCTGTACATGTTACGTCACTTCAATCTCCACGCCTCTCACGGCCTCAGAAATTGGCATTTTGTTCACTTACATAGATGGTAATAATTAACGCGGCACTATCATGAATGTTAAACATCTGTCACCTGCCTGCATACCGTGTGGCACATACGTGGTAGAGTCATTAAGTTTGTGGACTGTGGTTTCATCGCATCATATTGCAAGGTATTCACATACACTTACGCAGATCCACATCGGCCCCCAAAATAGTTGCCGTTGGCCGCTATTCAAGTCTGCCAACGTTGATATAGCTACCGAAAACATTGCTGAAACATATTGGCAGGAAATTCCCGTACGGCGTCTCTTGTGGCAATGACCACCTCCTCGGACAACTGAAATCTACGGCCACGTAGCTTTGCTTTCACGCGGTGAAAGAGAAAGAAATCGCAGGGTGCGAGATCAGGTGAGTACGGAGGGTGTGGCAAAACGGTGACCTGTTGCCTTGCCAGTTCCTCTTGGACAAGAACAGAGCGATGTGCAGGGTCGTTGTCATGTAGCAACAGCCAATTCTTCCTATACCAAATGTTTCGCTAGGGGATTTCCCTAGTTTCTGGTAGAATTTGATGTTTGGCCGTTGTTCAAACGGCCGCATTTTCGATTTCCGCCACTCACATTTAACTGCAGTTCACAATAGAGGCAGTAGTTCTGCACACAACTGCTTCTTGCTATGACGAGAGATGAACTGACAGGGCATCAGATCGTGCCTCAACCTATTCGCTGTAGTGCGTTGTAAGGACGCTTTTGCGGCCATTCCACGAACTTATTGACTATGGTAGTATATCGCTATACAGCTGAGGGAACAGTGGCAGCCATCTTGGTTACGTTGCCAAAGGCTGTACGGCCCCAAGAAATTTACGTCAACATCTCAAAGTGACGCCATAGGATTCATTTCACTTCTCAGCCATAACACGCTGTAGCCACATGCATCATTGTGCGTTCTAAAATGTCATCAAGATTACATTTATATTGTATAATAACAGTAACGTAATATAATTTATATTTACAAAAAATCCATAACAAGTGTGCTACAGTCACTAGACTATTGTATGCGAATGTGGCAACATTGGATGTAGGTGTTAGTGGTCTCATCCAAACACGACGTCACATTGTTGCCACAAACGGGAAGACACTGTGACATAAATCACAATACAGATGACACATGAGTGACAGAGAAACTATGAAGAAGCCATAACCCTCGACTTTTCATATCCGTATATAGAAGTATCCGGTTAGCTGACATGCGCGTATCAGCTGTGAACTAAGTTGCTGTCTCGTCCTGTAGAAAAGGAAATTTCTGAACAAAATGTGGGCTTCAGATGAAGGAATTTAAGTTCAACGTTGGTAATGTAGAGGCCTGGGTGAGAAATGGGCTGTCATTGCAAGTCGAGCTTTCGTTAATCAGAATACTTCAAAGAGCAGATTGCTTATGACGAGTCAGAAAGCTGCTACAAACAATACTGAAACTTCCTCGGCTTAATAATCCCGTATTTTTTTACGTAAAGTTCCTTACAAATGGGACAGTAAACCTGCCTTCAATCAATTGTACCTTGTAATTTCACCACGTTGGTACTCTTTCCTCTTTATTCGTACAGTCTTTGTGTACAGAATAGGTAAAACGTGACTCTATCCCTGTAACAGGCCGTGAAGGTCCATAGGGTTGTGAGTCGTCGAGGCTCCCACGTTTTATGGATAATCGGCTCACAGATGACGGTGAGGTTAAGTAAAACTCTCCCTGTAACAGGTCATGGAGGCCCATAGGATTGTGAGAGGTTGAGGCTAACACATTTTCTAGACAATCGGCTCACAGATGGCTGTGAGTTCAACTTTACGCGCCGGCTGCCCTTTACTCCCCAGGAAGATTCCTGGTACTCATTTCTGTTAGAGGCTGAGTCGACCCCAGGGCCATAGTGCGTCTCGAAGGATTAGGCCAATTGAAAAAAAAATCCAGTGACCTCATCGGGACTTGAACCCGCGACCTTCCGGCTTGTAGCATGGTGCCTCAACCAACTACACTACCGCGTTAGCAGAATTGGAACTTGTCAAATTCTGATTAACCGTAAAGTACGAAAGTAACATTTATTAATATAGGAACCGTTAAATAAAACACTTTTAACTTTTATATTCTTAAGTGTAAGGATATGTAGTGTGTGAGGTGTCAGTAAATATTATATATTTGGGACTAGAACCGTGAACTCTGTGAGCATTTTAAGAGGAAGGGGCCTATATTTGAGAAAAGTTCCCACATCAACTCATTTCATATGGAAGTGCACAACAAGCTTGAACTCCGTGTTACAATTATTCCAGCGTCTGGAATAGTATAGTTCTCAAGAACACTTTGGCCTCCTCATAATTGCTCCTCACGTCTATGTTTATACAACTTACGTGAAGTAATGCTACTTTCACACATTGTGTCTACATTCACATACACATGTTACACTTCGCTGATACATACAGAGCCGTATTTATACATAAATATTTGGCCATTCTACAAAATGTCCGTATATGTCTGTTGTTACCACATCAGGAGAGAGTATTGTAGATGCTATATAAATGGACTTGAGCAGTTTTTATGGAAGCTGAAGTTGAAACAGTGTTAATTGCATTATCCAGTAATGTGTCTCCAACTTGTGACGCAAGTGCATACCGCACATTTTCCTTAAGCGGCGCAGCGTGCTCGCCGAACTTGAGCCACTGCTCGCTGTTTACGCTGAATCTCAAAGTGAATGGTTCTCAAATTTATTCGACGAATTTTCGGTAAGGAAAAATTATGTTATTTCATGTACAGTAAGTCTGTCAAATTTCGTGGTATGTACTGGAGAAGTTTTACTCTTTATGTAATGTCCTTTTATGTCACAGTTTTGTATACAAGTTCATTATAAAACTTTATCTTTACGGAAAATATAATTTGAACACTTCATGTTGTGTTTTAATTACGTGTCGTGTAGAATTGTAGACGTCATTACGATATACAGAAAGTTCGGATGTTGTTTGAAAATATTTTAGTATCAAAATAGCCGTTCCTCATTCATTAGCAGAAATTATTTAAAGCTCGAAGATGTCTGAAATTCGGTCACGTCTGCAGCAATACCGTCCTTTGAGCTACACACTGGATCAAAAGATGTCAGTGTGGTACCAACATTTTAATGTGAATCACAGCAGATTTTCCGGTCACTTCATTTCAGGAACTTCTCCCTGTTTTCCATTTTTACTCCTTGACAAAAACGGAGGAACATAAATTTGAGCTGCCCTAGACTCTCGAATGTCTTACGACACTTAAAATTAAATTACTTTATGAAACAACGACCAAGTCACAGCATTGTCTCTAGTGAGCCCGCGGCGTTTGTGGTCGTTGTTACGGCCGTGTCTCACAAGATGTCGTTAACCGCACTGCAGCCGTTGGTGCGTGTGGTTCTACTCAGTGTCAGCATGGTGCTCTTGCCGCCGTTACAGCGTCCGTTCGCTTGATGCGGGATGATAGTGGTCGATGCTCTCTGGTATCGCGTGCCGCCTGGTCCCACGGGCCCACAGTTGACTACCTTGCGGAATGCTTTGCGGAAGTGATCCGAGAGGAACGCGTACAGGATGGGGTTGACGCAAGAGTTCATGTAGGCCATCACCTGACTCACGATCTGGATCATGACGCTGGCGTTCGTGATCTCGTACCTGTCGACGCTCTTCAGCACCAGGATGATCTGCAACCAGACGATCGTGCGCAGATCACATGACCATGTCCATATGAAAGCTCGTGACCCTATCACGATCGTGCGCAGATCACATGACCATGTCCATATGAAAGCGCGTAACCCTATCACGATCGTGCGCAGATCACATGACCATGCCCATATGAAAGCGCGTAACTCTATCACGATCACGCCCTAGAGTATGGCGATTGTACTGTGTAAAGTTGCCCCGTGGGGAATGGAGCTGTAGCTCCACCACTCTTGACCTCGGCACTAGAGGGAGTTGAGCGATCAGCTTCATGCCCCTGCCGCACCAAGGGAAATATTTCTCAGTACCCATTGGATAGCGTAATCGGTATAGCGACTGACTATGGGCTGGACGACCGAAGGGTTGGAGTTAGAGTCCCGGTAGGGTCAAGAATTTTCACTTCTCCAATCGTCCAGACCGGCTCTGGGGTCCACCCAACCTCCTATCCAATGGGTACCGGGGGCTCTTTCCCGGGGGTAAAGCGGCCGGGGCGTGAAGCTGACCACTCACCTCCAACTAGTGCTGAGGTCCAGAAAATGCGGATCTATACATCCACTCCCCTATATTTCTTCATGGCGTAGTGCTTAATTAGTTAAGCACAGGGCCAACTCTGCCTTTACCTTATCCATTGCATAGGAGGCTGGGTGGGCCCCAGAGGCAGACCGGACCCTGTGGAGAAGAGATTTGCAGGGGATGGAACTCCGTACCCCGTCGTTATACGGACTAAGCTATCCCGGCTCCTTTTTTGGGTCCTAAGAAGGTTCGTGTTCGTTCGGCACCCCCACCCCAGCTTTTCATAATGTGTGAGGTGTTTACGGCGGTGGAGGTTATTCTGCGATGTTGTCGGCTGTGATGCACCAAGTTTAAGAGGGCACGGTGCCACCATCTTCAGGACTACGTTTCCCTTTTTCCTGTCCTCTAGTGGGAACCCTATGGCCTGCGGTTCACATTGGGCCACTGAGCCAAGGTCTCCTCCCCTGAAACCGGTACACTTATTGCCCACTCATATGCAACATAACCTGTTTCCTTCGACCCATATGTATCCGCCTATATTACGTCTGTAATTTGATACACTTCCACCCTGAAGACAGAGACAGTATGCCCCTCTGAGAAGTTGGTACCCACATACCAGACTTCACGGTATCATATCCCGGAAGACTACATTATGATTCTTAATTGCCGTGAAAACATCAAATCTCGAAGACATCAAACCCATTTCCACTTCATCTTATATTGTCACGTGATTGATGTGAGTAGAGAGACAGTCTGGATTCGTAACTGGAGTTATTGGACTCTTAACACTTTTAACTCCAAGTAACTACGACAGTCTCACTGAATTACACATTCTGAAGATCACTGTAACTAAAGCACACAAAGTCTTCCCAGTCTTAACTAGCCGTTGTTTGGCAGTGGCTTCCAATGATGGACATTCCCCTTCCTATGGGTTCCTGAACTGTACCTAGCCTCACCTACCAGCTTCTCATTTCTCACAATTGCACCTCTCCAATGACTCAGCTCAAGTCAAAGTCGAAATTATGATTATGTTACGACCTACGATCAGTCGACCAGTCTGTCTTGGTGTCAAGCACCCATCTGGGGCCGAAGACCAGATTTCTGTTAGTGTCAGACAGTTGCGGGTTTGTTTATGTGGGGCTCCTATGTTGTTTACAGTTGCTTCTGGTCCTCGCCAGCGTAGACGTTTCGGGTCCGATTACCACGGGACTCATGACCATATTTTACTACCTCAGATTCGAGATTCTCCCAGCCTGGAGGGCCAGGTACCCGTATTTATATCCCTCAGGAAGAAGGTGGGTCAGTTATACCCCCAAGCACTGAGTTGCCTTTCCGTCCTGTGAGTCGCAAGGTTACGGTGGAGGTATTCGAACCCGCCTCCACACAGGAACAACTCAACTGAACTACTTGTACTCGTTATATAGTGCCGGCACGGACCGCACGGGAAAAGTCTCTTCCATTATTGCGTGTTCTCTCGTCGGGGAAACAATGTGTCCACAGAGCTGTTATCTAGCAATGGATGTTACTTAGCAATGGCTCGACATGTCACAGTACTGAATATTTAGGGGTGGGTAAAATGAATTTTAATTTTCATCCGAACAGAGTGAGTTGTTTGTGTGCTGACCACGAAATGAATATTGGTTTAAATTCAAAACAGTATTACATTACATTATATTGCATTGCATTCCATGGACCCAAAGTTAGTCAAAATGACTGTAGGATGTGGAATATGTCATATAAATACAAAACATATGTACAGTCCCAATGGAATTCTCACACAAGAGAAACCAAGAATACACATTGACTACACACAAGGATATTTAAAGATACACAAGTTATTTTCTAGGCAATAGATATTCATCAACAGAGTAGAATGAATGTGTATTTAAGTATCGTTTCAGTGCTATTTTAAATCGCGACTTTTCATTCATAAGACCCTTGAGATCAGATGGCAGATTATTAATAATGTTGTTCCCAGCATAATATGGGCTTTTCTGAAAGCATGAGAGGTTAGCAATTGGTTTATTAAGACAGTGTTTGTGTCTGGTATTAACACTGTGTACGTTTGCATTCGTCTGAAATGACATAGCCGGTTCCTCATAAACAGACGAAGGTGCTGCAGTACCACTGTCGCGCTTAGCCTACCTGTATTGGGAACCAGCAGATGGCAAATATGGCAACCACAACCACAACCATTCTGGTAACTCGCTTCTTGCCCCTGCGGCTCTCTGCTGACACGTGACCTCCGGGTGCGACGCCACGCCACAGACGCAGCAGCATGCACAGGTAGAGACCGCAGATGAGCGCCAACGGCGTCACGTATGACGTGGCGAAGAACAGAATCTGTTGGCATGACGTGTGGTTATCTGGGTAATGCTTAGACATATAACTCCTGCCGTACACAAAACATCGGTTTAAGCTGTTTGGGGAAACAGTCGCTGTTTACCGTGAGAACCATACGGAACACATAAATACAGAGAGAGAGAGAAAGAGAAGAAGTGGTGGTGGTAGTGAGAGACACTACATTGGGGGGGGGGAAGAAACTATATCTCCGATTTTGAAGGTTCCCAGGTAGTGCCCGCGTATCCTTCTGGTAATGATAGAGCATATGATCGGATTTTTTGTTTGTTTGTTTGTTTGTTTTTGCTAACGTTGGGAGGGCTATATTAAGGCGAAATTTTGATGTTAACAATGGGAGGGCTGCATGTGAGGCATGCAGTGCAACGTGGAAGCCTCACATGCAGCCCTCTCATTGTTAACATCAAAATTTAAATACACTGTGTGGTCAGAATGCAGAGTTCTGTCCGTACCTCACAGGAAACACATTACGTCTCCGCTACAAAGCACAACCGGTTAATGCTGTTCAGGGAAACAGTCGCTGTTTATTGTGAGAACCATACGGAACACATAAATACACTGTGTGGGCAGAATGCAGAGTTCAGTCCGTACCTCACAGGAAACACATTACGTCTCCGCTACAAAGCACAACCGGTTAATGCTGTTCAGGGAAACAGTCGCTGTTTATTGTGAGAACCATACGGAACACATAAATACACTGTGTGGGCAGAATGCAGAGTTCAGTCCGTACCTCACAGGAAACACATTACGTCTCCGCTACAAAGCACAACCGGTTAATGCTGTTCAGGGAAACAGTCGCTGTTTATTGTGAGAACCATACGGAACACATAAATACACTGTGTGGGCAGAATGCAGAGTTCAGTCCGTACCTCACAGGAAACACATTACGTCTCCGCTACAAAGCACAACCGGTTAATGCTGTTCAGGGAAACAGTCGCTGTTTATTGTGAGAACCATACGGAACACACAAATACACTGTGTGGGCAGAAACTGGTGCAGAAGTGGCTTAATGTACCACGCACACGTAACTTGTACTCAAGCAAATTAGTGTAAAAGGTGGTAACAGTAGTCGAGCGGTCTAAGACATCTACTATCTTCGAGTGCTACGAAGCAGAGTTCGTGTGTTCGAATCCCACACAAGACATAGATGTTTGGTATATGTATGTTTATTCTATGTTTGTGTTGTCCTGTATTTAGTTAAGGGCCTTGCGACGAGCCGATGACTCGTCCAAAAAGTTCTACCTTCTGTAAAATGATCATGAAACTGAAAGTCAGAGGCCAGGGCCCAAGGGGGCTGTAGAGCCGGCGAAAAAGTAGTAGAGTGAAAGTGAACTTATATTCATGGAAACTACTAAAGATATTGAGAGTTGTGGCCTATGTTAATATACCCTCTTGAAGGGGCTAAAATGAAACCCCGTGACAGTTTTATTTCCCATATGTTTGCTGCGAAGATGGAGATATATCTACGGTTGCTTGCAGGTTCGTGATAAACCCGTAAAATTCGCAGTAGGAATCGCTGTGTCGATATCTGATAGAGCTAGAGTGACACTTTGCACGCGATCTGACATTTCAGAGATCGGAAATCGCTACAGCTCTCGGAATGTATTGTGCTAATGGAACCGAGGCACGTGTCTCCCTGGCGACTGGAATGGGGTCGCCTGTGCAGTGAATCAGGGCCATCAACAGATGAGACGTATCTGCGAGCAAGGGACAAAGCCATCCCTACGTTATGCCCAGCGGCCCGTTCTGTATTAACCGAAATAAAATCAAGCCAATTAGCACAACATTATAAGCCTGTGCGCCTGCGTCAGAGACGACCAGATGCATGCACAATTGACAGTTTTCCTCGAAACGATAGGGTGCCGAGTGTTACACTTCGAATGCGATGTTTCTGTCCTTACGAATTGATGCAGCCTTATTCCTGGGGTCCTCACTTTATAAGTGTCTCGTCATCAGTTTCCATATGAGATGTGTTCTGAAGGGCACACACAGTTCTGCTGGTCACTTACTTTCTTGGTTTACCCTGCTACCCTGAACATGGAGGCAGTACGTTCCTCCTAAGCGTCTGTGAAATACTACTGGATTGTATGGCGTCACAGAAGATTATAATCTTCATACTAACACTTCCATTATGACTTAAAATCATGCAGACATATAATCTGTTTTAATTTTCCATGCTCGACCTCCATGAAGTAGCTTCCATTTGTATGTATGTCTTCTTGTCCTTGTTCATCTCCTCATAGTAACCAGTGTAACACATAAAGTAAATCCTTGCTAATCCGGTTAAAATTAATCCGGATGTCGGGTAATCCGGATCGAAATATTCTGTTCACAGTGGAGTACATACTTTAAAAGACACATGGCATTTAGGAAGGCAGATGAGTCACTTGTCTGTTCAGATAAAACTTGAGACAGTTCCTTCAAACCTGCATCATTACGTTCAAAAACAAGTACAACTTCTTAGTCTTCTATCGATGGATAATTGTTATGTCTTTTTATAGTTTTTAAATAAAGGTTCTCCAGTGATTTCTATTTATTAATTTCATCAACATTATTTGTATTATTAAATTTCCATTTATTTGTATTTTGTAAGTTTTTCTTTGTGTTCTAGGGCTGCGTTTTGCTTCACTAATCAGGATAATCGCATAATCTGGATTAGCGAGGGATTCTCTGTTTCGTAGCACCACCGAAGTAACATCCTTTTCATGCCGCGACTGTCCATTTCTCTTGTTGCCTGAAGACGTCTGTCTTTTAATATTTGACACATCGGTTTCGTGTAACAGTGCTTTGAACTGTGAGACTGAAATGTAAATAGTCGCTATGCTTAGTGAAGGGTCACGCCGTGAAAACATGGAGGAGTGGAGATACACCTCCATGTCGGATGTGAGTGATCAGCTTCACACCCTGGCCACTTCCCCATCACACTTGTTGGTTAGGAGGCTGGGTGGGCCCCCAGAGTCGGTCTGGTCGCTGTGAAGAAGAGGAGAATCACTTACTACTGTCGGAAATCGAACACCGGTTCCTCGGTCGTCCGGTCAGAAACATAGGCGCTATACCGACTGAACTTTCCCGGATCCCTGCCTTAAGTTACGCTATGTTGTATACGTTTCCTTACTTTAATTGGCACACTTTATTTAATAAACTCCCGTTTTACGTTTTGATGGATATTTACTCAGTAAAGATTCGGTTATTGGAATGACAATCCGGCTAAATGTTTTAAGAAAGCGCAGTGGAACTGTGTACAACGCACAGACACAGATTCAGAAATTAACTCAGGGCAGAGAGCACAATGCAAATTGCACGCCCTGGTCGGCACAACACAATTGTGGCGTAACATGCAGAAAGCAACATGTCACGTGATGACTGCTTGGGGCCCGAGATCGGACCCTAAAGCATTCTCATTGGCGCTCGTAAGTGGAGCGTACCTCACACGTATTTACATATGCCCACGTTTGATGCTCAGTGTTAAATATATATGCCACATGTTACAAGATTAAGAAACTCTGCATTCTGCCCACACAGTGTATTTATGTGTTCCGTATGGTTCTCACAGTAAACAGCGACTGTTTCCCTAAACAGCATTAACTGGTTGGGCTTTGTAGCGGAGACGTAATGTGTTTCCTGCGAGGTACGGACTGAACTCTGCATTCTGCCCACAGTGTATTTATGTGTTCCGTATGGTTCTCACAGTAAACAGCGACTGTTTCCCTAAACAGCATTAACCGGTTGGGCTTTGTAGTGGAGACGTGATGTGTTTCCTTTGAGACACGAACTGGATTTTTATACTCGTATATTACAGAACTGTGCATTCTGCCCACATATGGTTCTCACAATAAAAAGCGACTGTCTCCCTAAACAGCAATAACCGGTTCGGGTTTGTAGTGGAGACGTAATGTTTCCTGCGAGGTGCGGACTAAACTTTGCATTCTGCCCACACATTGTATTTATGTGTTCCATATGTTTCTCACAATAAACAGCGACTGTTTCCCTAAACAACATTAACGGGTTGGACTTTGTAGCGGAGACATAATGTGTTTTCTGTGAGGTACGAACCAAATGTTTAAATGCTATTTACGTGAACTTTGTGCTTTAGAATTCCAATACAGCGTACGGATTGCGTTTGGAAGGACGGCTTGTGGTTACGTGAGACGCACCTGGAAGACGGGCTTGTTGTAGCCGTCCGGCCTGTTGACGGGGTCCTGCTCCAGGAAGACACAGGCCGTGTGCTCCGCAGATGAATACGTGTACGTCACCTCGCCGTGACTCACGTACACCGGTAACGTGACCAGCAGAATCACGATCCACGTGACGGCGATAGCGATGAAGGCGTTGCGCTCCGTCCGTATCTGAAACACGGTTGCAATTATGAGCAGAGCCTGCACAGACACCCACTGGCTGCCAGTGTCATCATTGTACTTTCGTGTAACTTTCGGACTAACCTGTAGTTTATTTATGAGTTTAGGTTTCGGACCATCGGAAAATTAAGAGCATGCTCAGACTTTAAAATGCAAATGAGAGAACAAGGAGACGTAGGTGAAAGAAACTCTGCCCACATTTACATTGATATTAGCAGCCATTCCATCTATATTTGTACAATTATTGGTTTGGATAGTTAAAGCAGTTAAGTTATATCTGCTTCAGTACATGCTTATAGACCTATACAAGACGCTAACATTTTCTATAGAATTGGTAATGGTTTCACATAGGAACAGAACACGACTGAAATAAACGACTGTGAAACGTATGCTTGGCCTTATATTTCAACGTCCATTTCGTCGAAGAAAATTCATAGCTTGCCTATTGTTATTGTGTCAATATTGGTAAAAGTAAAGCTATCCCTGTAACAGGCGTGGTGGCTCTTATGGCTGTGAGATATCGAGGCTTCCACGTGGTCTAGGCAACCGGCTCACAGATGGCGGCGAAGTTGTCAACCTTACACACCGGCCGCATTTTACCCCCAGAAAAGATTCCTGATATTCATTTCTGTTAGAGGCTGAGTAGACCCTAGGGCCATAGTGTGTCTGGAAGGATTAGGTCAGTTGAAAAATCCATGTCACCTCATCGGGAATCGAACCTGCGACCCGCAGGCTTGTAGCATATTGCCGCAAATAACTACGCTGCCACTTGAGAAGTGCAGTGTTGGCAATCGTGGACTCAACGTGACGCGATAACGCACGCGTTGCCAGTAAACACTTCCCCGCTGTGACGTAACAGTAGATGTGCTGCGGGGGGCGACGTTTCCTACTTGTCCGATATATCGGCAGTGGCAGCGTGTGTTGACAGGAGCCAGTGGTTAGCCATCACGGACAGTTCGACAGTTCTACAGTTCGACATTCTAGAGAGAGTAGTTAACACGAAAGGACCGACTGTGAAACGACTTGATCAACATTTTGTTTTATTGTTACTTGAATTGTAGTTACGGCATTGAGTAATAAAGTGATGTCGCAAGAATACTCCTCGAGGTCTTGTTTCACGACATGCAGTATATGCTATAAAAAGGAAAAGAAAATTTGTTTCCTGAAGGGCATGGGCAATTATTGCACTCGATAGGCAGTCGAATTTAAATTGTGCCTCGAAATTGGTTACTGTATACAGAATGTCCCAGGAGTATGATACCATACTTCAGGAGCGCACTGAGGGTTCCACATACAATAACTTTAAAATAGGAACCCATGTCCGCCAAAGTAAAATAGCAACGCTATGGCGGCATTTAAAATAATTTCGTTTAAACTTGGCGTCTCAATGTCGAACTGCATTGCATAGAGGAACAGCCATCCACCAGCACTCGTGCCATTGCCAAGATTGTTGGGGACATCAAAATCAAGTGTTTGGAGGATCCTGCACGACCAACAGCTTTATCCGTATCATCCAAAGCGAGTACAGTGTAGGTGCAGCTGACTTCGTACCACGAGTTCAATTTTGTCAGTGGATACTGAACCACTGCTTTCATCAGCCCAACTTCCTGAGTCACGTGTTCATCATAGATGAAGCGCAGTTTACAAGGGGTGGCTGGTTCAGCTGTCGAAACAGCCACGTTTGGGCTGACGAAAACCCCAACGTTACTGTAGTTGGTTACCACCAGGCACAATTTTCTGTCAATGTCTGAGGGGGGCATCATTTGTGATCACTTGATTGGCCTTTCCTCTTACCACCGCGACTCAATGGGCCCTTTTACAAGGTGTTCCTTGAACGTATCCTTCCGACTTCGCTAGAAGACATGCCAGTGAGTGTGCCGAGGCAAATGTGGATGCATGACGGAGCGCCGGCACACTTCAGCATTGTATCACGAGACTACCTGGATGCTGCTATTCATGGCCGTTGGATAGGAAGAGGAGGCCCAGTGCCTTGGCCACCCCGATCCCCAGACTTGACACCTCTGGACTATTTGGTCTTAGGCCATGTGAAAAGCCTAATATACGACACGATTGTGGATAATGAATTCGGGATGTTGGCCAGTATACTTGTTGCTTGTGGCGTGATCCGTGAGACACCTGGAATATTTGAAAAGGCGCGCCAAAGTTTTTTCGTCGATGTAACGAATACATTGAAAATGGACGGTGCCAATTCCAACATCCACTCTAGCAGATGAGTCTTAAGAGTTTTGAGGGGGTAATATGCCTGTGCATGCTCTTCGACATTGAGGCTCCTGGTTTAAACAAAATAATATTAAATTCCGCCCTAGCGCTGCTATTTTACGTTTGCGGACATGGGTTCCTATTTCAAAGGTGTTCTATAGGAAACCCTTAGTACGCTCCTGAAGTATGGCACCAAACACCTGGGACACTCTGTATAAGTACATGGGCAGGCCATGTAGCACGAATCGAAGAGACGAGAAATGCATATAGGATATTGGTGGGAAAGCCAAATGGAAAGAAGCCACTGGGAAGACCATGGCGTAAGTGGGTAGACAATATTAAAATGGATCTTAGAGAGATAGGATGGTATTGTATGGATCTGATTGATCTGACTCAGGATAGGGACCAGTGGAGGGCTCTTGTTAACACGGTAATGAACCTTCGGGTTCCATAAAATGCTGGGAAATTCTTGAGTAGCTGCAGAATTTGCGGCCCCTCCAGAAGGGCTTAGCTCCATAAGTAAGTAAGTAAGTAACTAAGTAATCCGTGGCAGATACGCTTAAACCTCGGCCTCGATAGAGCGTTTCGTTGAAAAGGAATGCGTGGGAAGTTAAAGGTACGAAAGCTGATGTGTCAGTTGGAGTACGTTGCAGCTCTCTGAAGTCAGATGTGACTGAACACCGTGTATCTGCATGCTGCCAGAACTCACAGCCTTCATGGTAAGGGTGCCGTGGGAAACACTGCACAGTCTGGACGGCGGAATGTCTTTGTGCTCTGGTACAGGCAAGAGGCGATAGCCGCAGCAGGAAGGGTTACTTTACATCAAGCTTTTCTCCAAAATTCGAAGGATCTTTTGTTGATGAAATGTAGGGAGGCAGATGATGAAGCTGGCTCAGGATCGTGTCCAGTGGCGGGCCTTCGTGTTCAGCTCTCCTGCCAGAGAGTTGGCCGAGTTGTGTTGCCAGGGGACACTTCGTTAATGGGTCTGTACCAGCTCTTCTGGGGGTACGCGGTAGCGTAGCTGGTTGAGGCAGTACAATAAAAGCCGTAAGGTCGAGGGTTCGATTGCAGTTGAGGTCACTGGAGTTTTCAGTTGACCTCATACTTCCAGCCGCACTTATGGCCCTGTGGTCAACGCAGCCTCTAACAGAAATGAATACCAGGAATCTCCATGGGGTAAAGGGCTGCCGTCGAGTAAGTTTGACAACCCCACCGCCATCTGTGAGCCGATTGTTTAGAAAAATTAGGCAGCCTCAATGTCTCACGCCCTATGGGCCTCCACGGTCTGTTACAGGGATAGATTTACTTAACCTCCCCGCCATCTGTAAGCCGATTGTCTAGAAAATGTGGGAGCCTCGGCGTTTCACAACCCTATAGTCTCCACGGGCTGTTACAGGGATAGCTTTACTTAACCTCACCGCCATCTGTGAGCCGATTATTTAGAAAAATATGGCAGCCTCGACGTCTCACAGCCCTAGAGGCCTTTACGGCCTGTTACAGGGATAGCTTTACTTAACCACACCGCCATCTGTGAGAACGATTGTCTAGAGAAAATGTAGGAGCCTCGACGTCTCACACCTCTATGGCCCTCCACGGCCTGTTACATTGACAACTTTACCTTTTTTAACCAGTCTTCATGTCTGTATGCATATAAAACTGTGCTTTTAGGATGACAAAGTTTTGTATATTTTTTTTTAGATTTATTGAAAAGATTTTTGCGTTATGAATGGCACAAACGTTGCTTGATGTATTTCAATAATTCCGGAGGTATCAGATCAGTCAAATATAAGTTCCCGTCACCCTGAGGTTAGCTGGAAGCTGAAATAGCAATGGTATCGGTAGCAGTAGTACTAGTGCCTGGACTGACTTAAACACTGCAAGTAGTTCACATGTTTGTATGTATTTAACCTGTGTACCACAAAAACGTGATGCTGTGTGGACACTATTTTATGTTTGTAACGGAACGAAGCTCAGTATACTGTACTTTGATTTACTTACTGTAATATTACAATTTTTCGTATGGAAGTTACAAGTGATAATTTATGTATTTCACAACCCTTTGTATCTGGGAAAGGGACGGTACTCTTGGTATCTAACAGTACGCATACTAAGAAATTTTGTCTCCGGATTTTACATTCAAGCAATGGGAACTACTTTTTGTGTCATACGAATTATTTGAAAATGTGGCACAGTTCAGATATTTCGGAACAACGATAACAAATCAAAACCTGATTCAGGAGGAAATTAAGAGGAGATTGAACTCGGGTAATGCTTGCTACCATTCAGTCCAGAACCTTTTGTCTTCTCGTCTGCTGTCCAAAAACAAAATTAGAATATACAAAAGTATAATTTTGCCTGCGATTATGTACGGGTGTGAAACTTGGTCTCTGACATTAAGGGAGGAACATGGACTGAAGGTGTTTGAGAACAGGGTGTTGAGGGGAATATTTGGACCGAGGAGAGATGACGTGACAGGAGGTTGGAGAAACCTGCATAATGAGGAGCTTCATAACTTGTACTCTTCTCCAGGTATAATTAGAATGATCAAGTCAAGGAGGATGCGATAAGCAAGGCATGTAGCGCGAATGGGGGGAAAAAGAAATGCATATACGATATTGATTGGAGAGCCAGAAGGAAAGAGACCACTAGGAAGACCAAAACGTAGGTGCGTGGATAATATTAAAGTGGATTTTAGATAGATAGAATGGGGTAGTATGGACTGGATTTGTCTAGCTCAGGATAGGGACCAGTAGAGGGCTCTTGTGAACACGACAATGAACCCTCGGGTTCCATAAAATGTCGGGTAGTTTCTGAGTAGCTGAGTAGTTAGTTAGAAGGCCTCGCTTCCTGAGGAAGAGGCGCAATGTTCTCAGGTTAGGAAAGCAAACGTCCGTTGCGCTTACCGACATGGAGGTTATAGGGTGCACGACGGCCAAGAATCGATCCAAGGACATCAGGACTAGTGTGTACACACTGGCATAGGCCGTGACTACTATGAGGTACTGGACGATCTTGCACCAGACATCTCCGAACGGCCAGAAGGGTAGCACATAGTCGGTGGCCGTGAATGGGACACAGAACACAATGAAGAGTAGGTCTGCCATGGCCAGGTTGATGATGAGCAGGTTGGTAGTACTGCGCATCTGTTGGTTGGCAGCCACTACGAGCACCACCTGCAACATTCATTGTAACTGTTACAGATGTTGTACTTGGGGATGTCGTCTCGAGGGGGGAAGAGTTTCAGTTGATAATATCAGCGCCTGTTCAGTACACGCCACCAAGCTGTCCGGCTTGTTCCGGTCTCAAATTCTCGTGTGACCATCGCAGTCGAGGACGTCCAATTCTCTCCTTTCCAGGAGTCGGCACTTTTAAACTTGATATCCTGGAATGCGCCGTTACCAGATATGCCTACGCCCTATAGATCTAAGGTTTAGATAAGATGCAGGTACAGTGGTGTTCTTGGTCATGATACCGTGTAGTCTGTACAGTGTCATAACCCCGAAGCCCACAGTTTGAATCGGGCATTCCTAAATATGTACATTCGCATTTCGTTGTGGCCCAGTGTAGCGAATCGGTCCCTACCTGAAAGATTACATTATTAGAGTCCCTATGTGGTTATGGTGTAGTGGTGGACAGCCACAGACAACCAGAGGAACGCGGATCACAGTTTGAGAAACAATGACGTAAACACTTTGTGAGTTCACTTCAGCATAAGACAGTGCACACCCCGAAGTTTCTCGAGGAGATGTGGTTCAGCCCTTCCGCCTCCGTGTCTCGTCTGTGAAGCTCCACCCCACCCCCCTTCCCAAGTGGATATTCCGTTATAGTCTCTTCAAAGGAAAAATTGGCATCAAGTAGGTCCAACTCGTATAAAATATTTATTATCTAATTAAAACTTTTCCGCTGTAAAGATAATTGTTCAGAATAAAGAGGTTGGAGACTTTTGAATGATGAATTCGACGGTGAGTAAAAAGAGTAGACGCGAACTTTTCTATGGTATGTGGTAAACTTTTCATAGATACCACGAAGACTATTTGTAGGACTTGGGGGAGAAGTGACGCCTCAGAGGGTGGGAAGGGGAAGTGTCTGCGTCATAATCCCAAGCTAGCGTTGCACTTCCCAACGTCTGAGTCTACAGAAAACTTGGGGGAGACACCAACACTGATAAGTCCATAAATGTTGCTGCACAGTGTAGAGACTTCCGGGCTTCGCTCGGGCTGAATAGACCGAATTATGTGTCGCTTTTTATATTTCCGGAAGAGGACAGGATAACACAGACAAGTGAGAAGATGAAGTTTGTGTCAAGCCACGTACCCGTAGGTGAGAAATAGACTGTCGTGAGATGCAACAATAAACATATTGTGACATGTAGACCCATTGCCAAGTAACAGCTGTGTAAACAGGCGACAGTACAACAGCCGTTGCTAGAGATCAGCTTCATGGACATGTTTCTTCGGCAATGAGAGATGACGCAATAGTGGAAGAGACTTTTCTGTGCCGTGCGTGCCGGAACTATATAAGGAGGACCAGCTGTAATTACGGGACAGTCTTGAGACGTCAGTTAGAAGAGTAGGAGATAAGTGTGAGATGACCGCCAGCCTGTTAGCCCGGGAACAAAAGAACGTCCACAAGCGGAAGACGTTACCAATAAGACCAGTGAAGACCGTGACTGAGAACACTATTTTGTGTACGATAGTGATTTGTAAAGTGTAGCCACGAGCTGTGTGTCAGAGTGCGCAATAAATCCCATTACCAGTCCAGACCCCGTCGGTAGTCACTCTGTCACATGACAATATACGGCAACATGCCCAGACAGTACCAGCTGCAGCACTGAGTTTGAGCGTTCTGAAGCCTCAATTATGAATCTGAACTTTTGTTACGACCTACGGTCAGTCGGCCAATCTGTCTTGGAATAAAGCACCCATCTGGGGCTTACGACCAGATTTTTTGTTACTGTCATACGGCTGCGGATTTGTTGATGTGGGGCTCATTCTCTGAAGAGAGGACGGGTCTGTCGTTTACAACTGCTGCTGGCCCTCGCTAGCGCAATCATTCTCGGGTCCGACTCCCGTGGGACTCACGACCATATTTACTGTCTCAGAATCGAGACTTCCCTTTCGGCCGCCTCCTACAACTCACAGGGCTACGGTGGAGGTATTCGACAGCTCCTCCACACGGGATTGAAGCCTCGGATTAATCTGAATTATACGTATATATTATAAATACAGTTCGTAACTCACAGAAAACAATGTGCGTCTCCATAGCAACACCAATCCCTTAATGCTCTTCGGGAAATAATCGCTGTTTATTGCGAGGATCATAAAGACATAAATATACCGTCTGGATATCATGCAGGGGTTTGGAATGTTAAAAGCAGCCCTTGTGCATAGTAACCACTGTCATAGTATTGTATCGCGATTCTATTATGCCTGGCCGTAATATTAACTACATATTAACATATAATTACTGATTCAGAAGGGCAATTGCGATAGAAGTGCCTGTTCACGTGATATCAGAGCACAATATGCCGAGTGTTACAGTTTGTTTCCATTGGCACTGCTACTCCATGCTGTAAGTTTAGTGTTTCGCTTTAATGACGAGGATATTTTGTGTTTGCAGGCTGCTGACCGCAGTGCGGGTTCACAGTCCCAGGGGAACTGGAATCAGTAAGTTGTTGCATTATTTTTGTATAATTACTGTCGGTAGTTCACCTGCTCTCGGAGTTTGCCGTGTTTAATAATCTGTTTTTGCACCCCCTCCCCCCTCCTTCCGCGTTACTTCGGGTATTTACTTTGTGAGCTTCTGCCTTATGACAACACATATCGTGGAGCCATCCATGGAGAATTGTAAAATGTAACTGTCGAGCACATAAAAATATTTAAGGTAAAGCTGTCCCTGTAATGTGGAGGCCCATAGGTTTGTGAGCCGTCTAGGCTTCCACATTTTCTAGACATTCGGCTCACAGATGGGGTTGATGTTAAGTGAAACTGTCCCTGTAATGTGCCGTGGAGGTCCATAGCGTTGTGAGATGTCGAGGTTCCCACATTTTCTAGACAGTCGGCTCACAGATGGCAGTGAGGTTGTCAGCCTTACGCGCCAGCCGCCCTTTACCCCCCTTCCAGGAAAATTCCTGGTACTCATTTCTGTTAGAGGCAAAGTGGACCCCAGGACCATAGTGCTGCTGGAAGGGTTAGGTAAATTTAAAAAGAAAATCTATCTCATGGGAACTCGAACCCGCGACCTTCCGACTTGTAAAATATTCCCTCAACCAACTACGCTACCGCGTGCCCACTTATAGAGCTCATAGACTCATAATTTCGTTTGCGAATTTAACGTGCCGCGAAATAAGCTACAGATATATCACAAAAATTGTAACACACACACACTCTCTCTCTCTCTCTCTCTTCATATAATGACGTGTTCCTCCAAACATTCTTCTTTCCTAGCGAATAAAATTCATAACTCCTTTCCGTCCCTGCAGTGAGCTTCCACCAGGCATGTCTGTAGTGCGGGGTTGTAACTCCAGGCGGCGTAATATGAGTCTGACATTCTTTTTCAGTACGGTGCCCTTAGCGTCGGTACACATTCCTTGCTTCTGATGTCAGAAAACTGGTATCAGGACCTGCGGTCCTCATTCTGATCCGTTATGTACTTTTGTGTGTACTCTCGCGGATATGATTGAGAAGACCTAAGATATTGTTACACGTACACTCATTGCTAGGCAACGGATTAGTAAACAAGTTCCCGCGAAGACTGTTTCTTGGTAAAGAGTCCGTTCCTACGTCATGCAACAGTAGGACGAATTTTTATAGCTCGTTGCTGCGCAACAATTAGCACGCCAATGGACTAATGAGATAGCTATCACGTGACTTGTTTTCAGCGTGGTCCGCGCCATGTACAGTGATAAGCAACAGAACTGTAAACATGTCTACAATAATAGATGTTTTCTATGTGGTCCGTGCCTAAGGTTTATAGGGAACTGAAAAGAGGGTGGTAATAAGTCTCATATCTGAGACAGCAAAATATGGTCGTGAGTCCCAAGGGACTCGGAACCTGGAAAGACTGCGCTGGCAAGGACCAGCAGCATATACAAAAGACAGACTCGTCCTCTCGTCAGAGAGGGCGCCCCACAGAAACAAGACCGTAACTGTCAAACGGTAATAATTAATATTTGGGCATGAGCCCCAAATGGGGCTCGACACCAAGACTTACTGACCGACTCGCCATCAGTCGCAATGTGACTTTGACTTGCAGTCATAGCTGAGAAGCTGTAAATCAAGGACACGAAGCAGTCACGAAAAAGAGTCCAGGAGGGTTCAGCACTTGAGAGTACAAGGACGAGAATGGAGCGCGTCCTTAGTGAGTTGTGAAGATGAAGTACAGAGTAGGGCAGAGGAGTACAGAGTGACTGAAGACGAAATAACAAGAAGATCTCATAGTGATTTGAAGTGCTAGTTTCTGTGTTGAGATCCGTTGCCAGGATACGATTAGTGAAGACAGAGAATCCTAGTGCGTGTGCAACGGTGAAGTGCAAATTGTGTAAATCAGTGATATTGCCGTATTAATTGTAATTAAGAGAGAGTGCACCTGAAGTGCTAGTGAATCCAGTCATTCAAACTAGAACCCGTTATTTTCGCCACGCGTACCACTCGACACGTGACAGTATTACGAAATTTGCTCCTCGCTCTTGCCAATATTCCCTGTCGCCTCGAATGTTAAAGTGGTGTGAAAGTATTGTGATTGAGGTTTGGGGGGGGGCGAGAATCGAACCACGACACCTATATTTTTCAGTTAGAGTAAACCCTCTCTCACTCTCACTCACGGAGATAAGCCCTTCTTGAGAAGCCGCCAGTTGTACAACTACACAAGAGCTTCACAACATTTTATGGAACCCGAAGTTTCATTACCGTGTTCACAAGAGCCCTCCACTGGTCCCTATCCTGAGCCAGATCAATCCAATCTATATCATCCCATCCTATCTCTCTAAGATCCATTTTAATATTGTCCACCCATCTATGTCTTGGCCTTTCTAGTGGTCTCTTTCCTTCTGGTTTTCCCACCAGTATCCTATATGCATTCCTCTACACAACCATTCGTGCTACACGCCCTGCCCATCTCATCCTCCTTGACTTGATAATTCTTATACTTGGAGAAGAGTACAAGTAAACCATCT